GGACCCCTTCCTTAAAACAGATCCTTTTGTCTTTGTCTTCATTTCTGTGTTCGTCCGCTTTCGTTCAGTCCCGAACCAACAGCCACAAGTGGCTCCGGATCAGGGACATGAAGGAAGAAGGTCTGCTGGAGCAGAGAAAGTGAAACTGACCGGACGAACGAGAAACCCCTGGACAAATCTGCTTGCAGAGGATATAAGGTCAGTGAGCTAAAGAGATACTGGGAGTGGGACGTTTCTGAATCAGGGTAATGTGGGGCAGAATTTGTCTTTTGAGAAGCAACATTATGTGCAGTTGTCACCCAGGCTGGAGTGCAGTGGCCGAATCTCAGCTCACTGCAAGCTCCGCCTCCCGGGTTCACGCCATTCTCCTGCTTCAGCCTCCCGAGCAGCTGGGACTACAGGCGCCCGCCAACTCGCCCGGCTAGTTTTTTGTATTTTTTAGTAGAGACGGGGTTTCACCGTGTCAGCCAGGATGGTCTCGATCTCCTGACCTCGTGATCCGCCCGTCTCGGCCTCCCAAAGTGCTGGGATTACAGGCTTGAGCCACCGCACCCGGCCTAGGTTAGTTCTCAAACACTAAGCTGCTGCAGGAGGTTATTACACATAACCCATGGTTTCCACAGACAGGCACTCTTGATGCAGAAAATTGGGACGGAGTAAGAGAAGGATTAAAATGGATCTTATCAAAAAGGTCTTAAAGTTGATCCTTCTGTTTTGACTTTATTCCGTACTGTCCTCTTGCCATTGTCTCCTTCTTCTTCTGCCGGACAGCAGGAGCCGTGTTCTGAATCTCAAATTTCGAAAGAATCTTTTGTCCCACCCACAGTGCCCACTGAAATAATAAACAGGAGAGGGAGGATGAAAATTGGCCTCTACCGCCCTATCCAGTGGTGGAAACACTTGTATCATCTCCTTCAGTAGAAATAGAAACCCCAATACAACAAATTCTATGCTCCGCTGCCATAGCTGTTAGGATCTTGTGCTTTTCCTATTTCCATAAGTCTGGATCCAAATAATCCACAGCAGTTTATTCATGAACACACCCCACTAGAGTTTAAGTTGTTGAAGGAATTAAATGCTCGTGTAGTGAATAGTGGAGTACAGAGCCCATTCACTTTAGGATTGCTAGAATCTGGATTTGGCGCTATGCACCTTCCAACCTTTGATGTAAAGCATTTGGCCCACACTTGTTTGTCTGCTAGTTCATACCTGACAAGGAATTTAAATTGGCAAGAACTGTGTGCAGACCAGGCTAGACAGAATCGTGCTGCTGGACACAGGGACATTACAGAGGATATGCTGTTGGGTAATGGCTCTTATTCAGACCTGGAACATCAAATGGCACTCCTAGACGCTGCTTATCAGCAGTGTGCACTGGCCGCTAAACGCACCTGGGCCACAATTCCAGAGGAAGGGGTCCCAATACAATCCTTTTTACATGTCATGCAAGGGTTGCAGGAGCCCTATGCACATTTTCTTGCATGATTACAAGAGGCAGTGAGGTGTCAGATTCCTCATATTGCAGCTGCAGAGATGCTAGCTTTAACTTTAGAGAATGCAAACATGGATTGTAAATGTGCACTGGCTCCTGTGCGATGTATGCAAAACTTAGGAAATTTTCTCAAAGCCTGTCAAGATGTGGGAACTGAGCTTCATCGCTCTACAATGTTAGCTCAAGCAATGGCTAATTTAGTAGTGGACAAATCTGCAAAGGGCCAAGGGTCAAACTCTAAAAGGGAAAAATGTTATAATTGTGGAAAAATCAGACCTTTCAGAAAGGAATGCCGTCAGACCTCTGGGCAGAAGGGATCTTATAATGCAGTACCCCACCCCCAACAGAAAAAATGCCAGGACTTTGCGCTCATCACAGTAAAGGAGATCACTGGGCTAATAAATGCCATTCACAATTTCATCGGAATGGCACTCCCCCATCAGAAAATAAGAAGGGGGCCTGGACCCAGGCCCCTCAAACAATGAGGGCATTCCCGGTTCAGGCCACAACCCCAATTCAGGGGTGGGTCTTCGGAGGAACATTGATTCCCTCTCCCCAGGAACACCCGGAAGCACAGGATTGGATCTCCCAGTCAGAGAATGGGTTACGTTAGTCAGAGGAGACAAACCCACTAAAATTCCCACTGGCATTTGGGGCCCTTTGCCAATAGGATATATGGGATTAATTTTGGGTAGAAGCCGTCTCAGCTTACAGGGCATTACTATAGTCCCAGGAATTGTTGACTCTGATCATGAAGGAGAAATTCAAGTAGTGGTAATGTCACAAGATCTGTGGGTTTTTGAACCAGGGGAATATATTACTCAACTACTGCTTATTCCCTGCAAATTACATCCTTCTCCACATAAGCAGAAACGAGGGAATCAAGGATTTGGGAGTATAACTAGGTGGGAAATTTACCTATCCCAACCCACAGCTTCTAATAGACCCACCTGTACAGTGCAAATTAAAGGAAAGAAGTTCTATGGGCTTATGGATATGGGAGCTGACGTGTCAGTAATATCTAAAAACGATTGGCCCCCATCCTGGCCCCTGCAATTAACTTCTAATCCTTAGCGGGAGTAGGAACAGCTCAAAGTGTTCAGCAGAGTGCTGAGATTTTACCCTGTCTGGGACCAGATGGACAGTCATGTGCTTTTCAACCTTATGTTGCAAATATAGCTGTTAACCTATGGGGCTGAGATTTACTTACAGCATGGGATATGAGACTTACAAATGAAACTATTGACAATCCAGGATTTAAAATGTTAAAGAAAATGGGATATCAGAATGGAAAAGGCTTAGGAAAGTCCCTACAAGGAAACCCTGATCCTATATCAATAACTGGGCAAACAGAAGAGGGCTAGGTCCGTCAGGATTTCTGACAGGGGTCATTGATATTTCTCCTCCACGCACTGCTTTGCCGCTAGAGTGGCTGACTGACAAACATGTATGGGTGGATCAATGGCGCCTATCACATGAGAAACTAACTCAACTCCATCTGCTAGTAAAAGAGCAATTGGATGCAGGACATATTGAAGAGTCAGTTAGCCCCAGGAATTCATCAGTATTTGTAATTCCAAAAAAGGAAAATGGCGACTGCTACACGATTTGAGAGCTATTAATGCACAGATTAAACCAATGGATGCATTACAGCAAGGTCTGCCATCCCCGGCAGTCATTCCAAGAGACTGGCCTCTTGTAGTAATGGATCTTAAAGACTGTTTATTATTATTATTATTATTACTATTATTATTATTATTATACTATTATACGAGCAGGATAGGCCTTGATTTGCCTTCTCTGTGCCTTCTGATTTTTGTTTTTTGTTTTTTTTGAGACAGAGTCTCGTTCTTTCCCCCAGGTGGGACCGCAGTGGCGCTATCTCGGCTCACTGCAAGCTCCGCCTCCCGGGTTCACACCATTCTCCTGCCTCAGCCTCCCGAGTAGCTGGGACTACAGGTGCCTGCCACCACGTCCGGCTAATTTTTTATATTTTTAGTAGAAACGGGGTTTCACCATGTTAGCCAGGATGGTCGCGATCTCCTGACCTCGTGATCCGCCCGCCTCGGCCTCCCAAAGTGCTGGATTACAGGCATGAGCCACTATGCCCTGCCTCTGTGACTTCCGTTAATCACAAAGAGCCCGTCTCTCATCTTCAATGGAAAGTTTTACCCCAAGGCATGTTCAACAGTCCTATGTTATGTCAGCATTTTGCAGGACAGGCATTAAAGGAGTCTCGGAATATGTTTCCCACTGCTTACGTCATTCATTATATGGATGATATTCTTTTGGCTGCTCCTACAGATCAAAATTTTACATCAGTTATTCAGAGAAATAAAATGAGCTTTGACTACATGGAATCTCAAAATAGCTCCAGAAAAGATGCAAACAACCTCCCCGTACCAGTACTTAGGCACTATTGTTACTGAAAGAAGTGTTTGACCTCAAAAAGTAGCTCTCCGTAAGGACAGATTACAAACTCTGAACGATTTCCAACAATTATTAGGGGATATTAACTGGTTGCGCCCAATGCTAGGTATTGCTACTTACTAACTCAAACACCCTTATCAGACCCTCAAAGGAGATTCTCCATTAAACTCTCCTCTGCAACTTACTAAGGAGGCAGAAGCTGAGTTACAGCTTGCAGAGCAGATGCTTCAGCAACGACATGCCTCCTGGCTACAGCTGCAAAGGGCTTTGCTTCTGTTTATTCTTCCTACCCCCCATTCTCCAACAACACTTTTAGGCCAATTCATAGACAAAGCTGTAGTAGTATTAGAATGGCTTTTTAAAAGCTCCAATCAGACAGTGAAATCTTTGCAAGTTTATCTTTCTTTCATTACTCAACTTATAACAATAGGAAGGCATAGATCAAAAATACTTACGGGATATGATCCAGACAAAATTATTGTTCCCTTGGATTCTCAACAACAGGCAGCAGCATGGGAAATGTTGACTGCATGGGAAATCGCTCTCGCAGATTTTGTAGAAATAATAGTTAACCATTATCTATCAGACAAAATTTTGCAATTTGAGAAAGTTCACCCTTTTATCCTTCCTGTGATTACTCGTCACAAGCCTATTCCAGGCGGACAGACTTATTTCACTGATGACTTTTCCAAAGGCCGAGCAGCTATTTATGGACCTAAGCATACTCAAACAATAAAGACCTCTGAAGTTTCAGCTCAATGCTCAGAACTAATGGTAGTTATTCAGGTTTTGCAGCTCACTGCTTCACCTCCTATTAACATTGCCTATGTTATGAATGTAGCCAGTTGCTTGGAAACTGCCACTATTAAAAGCACCCTAGAACCAGAGCTGTTTAACCTTTTTTTTTTTTTTTTTTTGAGACGGAGTCTCGCTCTGTCACCCAGGCTGGAGTGCAGTGGCCGGATCTCAGCTCACTGCAAGCTCCACCTCCCGGGTTCATGCCACTCTCCTGCCTCAGCCTCCCGAGTAGCTGGGACTACAGGCGCCCGCCACCTTGCCCGGCTAATTTTTTGTATTTTTTAGTATATGGTGAATACAATAGGTGGCAATTTTCTTTAGGATGGTCTCGATCTCCTGACCTCGTGATCCGCCCGTCTCGGCCTCCCAAAGTGCTGGGATTACAGGCTTGAGCCACCACGCCCGGCGTGTTTAACTTATTTCTAAGACTTCAACAAGCTATTCTCTCTTGTACTGTTCCTTTTCGTATTTCTAATATCCCTAGACCATGATCTCTAGGTAATGATAGAGCAGATAAACTGATCAGTTCTGTATTTCAACAAGCCCAGGCCTCTCATGCGTTACTGCATCAAAACACCTCTGCCCTTACTCGTATGTTTCATCTGCCTCGCAGCCAGCCTCCAGCTATTGTGCAAGCCTGCCCTACTTGCCGGCATGTCCCTGGTGTTGCACCCGTGGAAGGATGTAACCCATGAGGCTTGGCTCCGAATGAAATCTGGCAGATAGATGTTACACATATAGTAGCCTTTGGCAAACTCAGCTATGTTCATGTGACTATAGATACAAAGTCTCATATGTTACATGCCACATGTCAAACAGGGGAAACAGCTGGCCATGTCCAACAACATTGTTTGTCATTATTTGCCCACATAGGGGTTCCTAAACAATTAAAAACTGACAATGGATCTGCTTATGTTAGTCATGCTTTTCAAAATTTTTACAGTTATGGGCAATCACTCATAAAACAGGAATTCCTCATAACCTTTCAGGACAAGGAATCATAGAGCAGGCACATCAAACATTACAACATATGTTGAAAAAACAAAGGGGGGATAGAAGACCAATTAACCACCTCAAACAAAATTACATTTAGCCTTATTTACTTTAAATTTTTTGACTCCTGGTACAGATAGTAAGACTCTGGCAGAATGACGTTGGCAAATATTAGAGGGAAAGAGGAAAGTTTACCCAAAAGTATTATGGAAATCCCCAGAAGAAGGACAATGGAAAGGCCCAGTAGATTTACTGATGTGGGGACGAGGGTATGCTTGTGTTTTTACAGGAGATGGACAAAAACTGTGTGGGTGCCCTCTAGGTGTGTGCAACCATGGAATGGGAGACTGGAGGGATCCGTGGATCCCAACTATGCGTCTGGTTCCCCCAGTATGAGCCATGAGCCAGTGGAATCTGAATGCGAAGATGGAATGAGGGCCGACTGGAGTCACACTGACATCAACCCCCATAACATGGGGACAGATCAAGAAAACCACACAGGAAGCTGAAAAACTGCTGGAGCGCCAAGGTCAGGCAAAACCCATGTTTATGGTTTTTCATAAACTCCATGTTTATGGCCATGCTAGCTGTAATATTCTGTGAGGTTTGTTTTCCCTGTGCAGAGGTAAAAACGTATTGGGCATATGTTCCTAACCCACTGCTAGTGCGACCGGTACTCTGGAGTGACACTCCTCCTGAGACACATCATGATTGAGGAGCACAGGCACCAGGACCTCTAACTCCCCCTGACACAGAGCAATTAGACTCTCAGAACAATGGTAGCAATTATACCACTCCTTTATCTGCTCCTTTATGCCTCACCCAGGATACATCACTCAACTGCAGTTGCTTTGCAATTCAATCCCAAGCATGGCTGAGTTACCTTGGAAAAATTACATACCTATTAGGCCTTAGCTCTATTAATATTACTGGTGTAGTTACTAATCACTCCCAGCCCCATTGCCCAAATTGTACTGATTATACAGAATGGGCTCCCTTTGATAATTCTCACCCCTCTCCTTGGACCCAGTAGCTTGGTCCCTTAGCTAGACAATAGTCCATGTTAATGGGAAACATTATTGACTGGGGTCTCCGTGGTCATTTAGATGGGAGAGATGAGAATCAGACCTCATGGCATAAACTTCACTGGCACTGGTGGCGAAACTTTAACATCCCTTCGCTACAACACACTGAGATTCAATCCCAATCTGCCTTGCAACTTGCTTGGCACGGAACGGGCTTTAGCCCACCTTTGCCTCAATGGCATTATCAAGGGAAGAGAAGTCCAATTCAGGAGACAATATGGAAGGCAACACTCCCATTTATGAATGGCAGCATTTGGGTTGAGACACTATCCAATAATAGTAATAGTGCTCAATGCAGTTTTAATGTTACCTTTGTAGAAAATGTTACCACTCAATTTACAATTTGTGTTTTTAATCCCTATGTCTTTCTAGCAGCAAAAAAGGACCAACTCCAGGTAAAGATGCCTAATTGACTTGTGATTCCTGTCAACTCTATCATTGCCTTAATCATAGCACAATGCAAACACACAGCATATCCACCCTAATAATTCTAGGTCTCATTCCCGGATTATGGATTCCTGTAAATCTGTCCAAGCCTTGGGCCCTTGCTTTATATTTTGTAAAACTCCTTCTTACTCAGCTTACTCATCATGCTCGGAGAGCCTTAGGCATGATAATTTTTGCTATAGTCTCCTTAGTTACATTAATAACCTCTGTTGTGGTGTCCTCAGTAGTGCTGCACAGCTCTATTTAAACAGCTCAATATGTAGAAAATTGGACGCATATAGCCGACCAGGCATGGATGTTTCAAAATAAAATTAACACTGAGATACAGACAGAAGTGGCAATGTTAAAGACTACTGTTCTGTGGCTAGGAGAACAAGTACAAAGCTTGCAGTTGCAGCAGCAATTGCGTTGTCATTTTAACCATACTCATATTTGTGTAACCAATTTGGAATACAATCAAAGTAAATATCCGTGGAACCTTGTAAAGGCCCATTTACAGGGAGCTTTTACATCCAATGTTACTTTTGATATAAATGATTTACAAAGTAGAATCCTTAACTTGAATAAGCAAACTCAAGCAGTTCAGCCCTCTTTAAAATCTTGGGCAGAATTCCAGCAAGGTTTAGAGAGCCTTAATCCTTGGACCTACTTCAAACAGCACCTCAATGTCTTTTTTGTAATTATCAGAAAAATGTTATGTTTCTGTTTTTTTGTTCATAGTCTGTAAAATCAGCTGGACCACCAGCTGGCAATTGAGAGCTGCACAGCCTGCAATTACCTTTATTCAATTAATGCAAAAACAGAAAGGGGGAGATGTTGGAGGCTGAAAGAATGAGGGTTGTGACCAACTCAGTATACCACTGGAGTCTATATGAGCAAACAGCAAACTGTTCTTATATATGTAGGATGTTGGCAAGCTGACAGCTATGTCTGCCACCAGAAGGAATGCTGAGGACAGTCACGCACCAGGTGCAGTGTTCCTTGTAGTTATCTATAGGAACATCTGGAGCCTGTTGTATAAAGAAAGCAATTATGTGAGCCTGTGATAAATCAAGCAGCTGACCAACCATTACCTCTTCCTCCCTGTTGATTCTACCTAATAAATATGAAAGCTGTAGAAGCTCAGGGCCCTTATTCCCTAGAAGGAGGGAGCCCCCGACTCCTTCTTTAAAACAGATCCTTTTCTTTGTCTTCATTTCTGCGTTCATCCTCCTTCATTCAGTCCCGAACCGACAGCCACATCTGTGGGTCATGCAGTGTCTAATTCTCCCAGAGAGTTCACCTGGTCCAGCACCAGCTGTCCCCACACAGGGGACGAGCTCTGCAGTCTCTGACTGCAACCACCTCTTCCACCTGAGGAGGGTGCTGTCCATGCGCATATGCGGATGTGTGCACAGATGTGGGTGCCAGTTTGCATTCCTCTTCCTTGTGGCGACCACCAGGCACATGCACTTGGGTGAACACTGCCACCACTGCCTACAGTGTGGCACTCCCCTTGCTGACTGGGAAACTTGCTCCAGCACCAGCTTATCCACACAGGAGAGAAGCCCTACTGGTGCTTTGACTGCGTGTGGCGCATGCACCAAAGAGGCTCCCTTGGCCATTCATAGGCACACACATACAGGTGAGAAGCCTCAGTCCTGCTCAGAGTGTGGCATCTGCTTCTCCTGCTTAAAGAAAGAAGAAAAAAATACATAAAAGCTTGGCTTTTCCTTTTTTAGACGGAGTCTCGCTTTATCCCCTAGGCTGGTTTGCAATGGTGTGATCTCAGCTCACTGCAACCTCTGCCTCCCGGGTTCAAACAAGTAGCTGGGATTACGGCACGTGCCATCATGCCCACCTAATTTTTTGTATTTAGTAGAGACAGGGTTTCACCATGTTAGTCAGACTGGTCTTGAACTCCTGACCTCAGATGATTCGCCCTCCTTGGCCTCCCAAAGTGCTGGGATTATAGGCACGAACCACCGTGTCTGGCCTGACTTTTCTTTTCTTTTTTGAGACGGAGTTTCACTCTTGTTGCCCAGGCTGGAGTGCAATGGTGCAATCTCGGCTCACTGCAACCTCAGCCTCCCCGGTTCAAGCGATTCTCCTGCCTCAGTCTTCCAAGTAGCTGAGATTACAGGCATGCACCACCACTCCCAGCTAATTTTTTGTATTTAGTAGAGACAGGGTTTCACCACGTGGGTCAAGCTGGTCTTGAACTCCTGACCTCAGGTGATCCACCCGCCTTGGCCTCCTGGAGTGCTGGGATGGATTACCGGTGTGAGCCACCATGCCTGGCCGGCCTGACTTTTCTTAACAGATTCACGTGGCCCAGTTTTGTTTGTTTGTTTGTTTTTGTTTTTGTTTATTTATTTATTTAAGCACAGGGTCTCACTCTGTTGACCACGCTGGAGCACAGTGGTGTAATAATCATAGTTCACTGCAGCCTTGAACTCCTGGGATCAAGCCATCCTCTCGCCTTAGCCTCCCAAAGGGCTGGGGCTACAGACATGAGCCACCATGCCCACACACCCAGCCACAATTAGGAGACTAAAACCCCACCTTTTTTTTTTTTTCTGAGACAAAGTCTCATTCTTTCACCCAGGCTGGAGTGCAGTGGTGCAATCTTGGCTTACTGTAGCCTTGACCTCCCAGGTCTCAAGTGATCCTCCCACCTCAGCTTCCCAAGTAGCTGGGACTATAGGTGTCCAATACCATGCCTAGCTAGTTTTTGTATTTTTTTGTAGAGACAGGGTTTCGCCATGTTGCCCAGAGTCGTCTTGAACTCCTGGGCTCAAGCAATCCCCCCACCTCGGCCTCCCAAAGTGCTGGGATTATAGTCGTTAGCCACCACACCTAGCCTGTAACTGTAGTTTTTTCCCACCACCTCTGTTCAAACATCTCCTTCCTCTGAATATCTCACTGCTGCCTCCTCCTCCTTCTTCTTCTTTCTTCTCCTTCCTTTTCTTTTTTTTTCTTTTTTCTTTTTTGAGACTTAGTCTTACTCTGTTACCCAGACTGGAGTGCAGTAACACCATCTTGGATCACTGCAATCTCAGCCTTCCAGGTTCAAACAGTTCTCTTCGGCTGGGCTCGGTGGCTCATGCCTGTAATCCCAGCACTTTGGGAGGTCGAGGCAGGCAGATCACCCGAGGCCGGGAGTTCGAGACCAGCCTGACCAACATGGAGAAACCCCATCTCTACTAAAAATACAAAATTAGCCGGTGTGGTGGCACATGCCTGTAATCCCAGCTATTTGGGAGGCTGAGGCAGGAGAATCGCTTGAACCCGGGAGGCGGAGGTTGCGGTGAACCAAGATCACGCCATTGCACTCTAGCCTGGGGGACAAGAGCAAACCTCCACCTCAAAACAAAACAAAAAACAATTCTCATGCCTCAACATCCCAAGTAGCTGGGACTATAGGCATGTGCTACCATGCCCGGCTAATTTTTGTATTTTTAGTAGAGACAGGGTTTTGCCATGTTGGCCAGGCTGGTCTTGAACTCCTGGCCTCACGTGTGATCTACCTGCCTTGGCCCCCCAAACAACTGGGATTACAGGTGTGAGCCACTGCTCCTGGCCTCACTGTTTTCTAATTTTGTGACTTTTCCTGCCACATTGTCTTTATTCCTTGAAAGCTTTGAGGTTAGTGTTTTGCCCATAGTATGTGCTTTACAATATTGATTAAAGAGATAGATGTGCATGTCGCTAGCTAAGAGATGTGGCAAATGGTATATTCTCCTGCCTGCAGGACCCTTGGGGGTGGCATTGAGCTGGTGAAACTCTGCAGTATGACACATACACAGAAGTGGGGGCTAGGCCAGGCGTGGTGGCTCATGCCTGTAATCCAACACTTTAGGAGGCAGAGGCAGGTGGATCATGAGGTCAGGAGTTCGAGACCAGCCTGGCCAAGATGGTGAAACCCCATCTCTACTAAAAATACAAAAATTAGCCAGACACGGTGGCGGATGCCTGTAATCTCAGCTACTCGGGAGGCTGAGGCAGGAGAATCGCTTGAACCCGGGAGGCGGAGGTTGCAGTGAGCTGAGTTCACACCACTGCACTCTAGCCTGGGTCACAAAGCAAGACTCCGTCTCAAAAAAAAAAAAAAAAAAAACAAGAAGTGGGGGCTAATGGGGTGGGTGCTGGCTTGTTCCATCAGCAATTTTCAGTTTAGTGCCTTTCACATACATGCTTGTATCATTCAGTTATGATTCATTGTGAATTTATATGCCTTACTAGACTGTAAGCTCCATTCAAAGCATGGCCTATGACTTATTTCTGTAGGCTCTCCCAGTTGCCTAGCACTATGCTTTGTAACCGAACAAATGTCACGTGAAAATAATATAGGGAGATTATGCAGAATACTGAACTTGAGAAGAAGAGCTCAGGTGGATTCCTGGTTTAGCAAGCAAATTAGGATACTGTGAAGGAAGGGTGCCTATCAGTGGTATGAATAAAGGCTCTGTCTGCCCCAGGATTAAATCTTTGTTCCTCCTTCTTACTAGCAGTATGGCCCTGGAAACTCATGGAATCCCTCTGAGATCATTTCTTCATTAGTAGAACCAGGATGATAACCATTGGTGCACAAAATGCTAGTAAAGAATTAATAATGGGCTGGGTGTGGTGGCTCACACCTGTAATTCCAGCACTTAGGGAGACGGAGGTGGGTGGATTGCTTGAGCTCAGGAGTTGGAGACCAGCCTGGGAAACATGGTGAAATCCTGTCTCTACCAAAAAATACAAAAAGTTAGCAGAGCACTGTGCTGTGTGCCTTCACTCCAGCCTGGGCAACGGAATGAGACCCAGTCTCAAAAAAAAAAAAAAAAATTAGGGTTGGGTGCGGTGGCTCAAGCCTGTAATCCCAGCACTTTAGGAGACGGAGGTGGGCAGATCACGAGGTCAGGAGATCGAGACCATCCTGGCTAACACGGGGAAATCCTGTGGCTACTAAAAAATACAAAAAATTAGCCGGGCATGGTGTTGGGCGCCTGTAGTCCCAGCTACTCAGGAGGCTGAGGCAGGAGAATGGCCTAAACCCGGGAGACAGAGCTTTCAGTGAGCTGAGATTGCACCACTGCACCCCAGCCTGGGAGACAGAGCGAGACTTCGGGAAAAAGAAAAAAAAAAAAGGAGTAACTAATGGCCCCGGTGCTGTGGCTCATACCTGTAATCCCAGCACTTTGGGAGGACGAGGCAGGAGGATCACTTAGCCAAGGGGTTTGAGACCAGCCTGGGCAACGCAGGGAAACCCTGGCTCAACAAATAATATAAAAAATTAGCCAGGCGTGGTACTGCACAGCAGTAGTCCCAGTTACTCTGAAGGCCGAGGTGGGACGATTGTAGAGCCCAGGAGTCAGAGGCTGCAGGAGTCACTACTGCATTCCCTCCAGCCTGGGTGACAGAGTGAGACCTTATCTCAAAAAAATAAAAATAAGGCTAGGCACAGTGGCTCACACCTGTAATCCTAGCACTTCGTGGGGCCGAGGTGGGTGGATCACTTGAGGTCAGAAGTTCGAGACCAGCCTGGCTAACATGGTGAAACCCCGTCTCTACTAAAAAATACGAATATTAGTCGGGCGTGGTGGAACGCACCTGTAATCTCAGTTACTCGGGAGGCTGAGGTAGAAGAATCGCTTGAACGTGGGAGGCGGAAGTTGCAGTGAGCCGAGATTTTGCCGCTGCATTCCAGCCTGGGCGACAGAGCACGACTCTGTCTCAAAAATAAATAAATAAATAAAAATAAAAAATCATAAAGATGAAATATGTAATATGCTGGGCATGGCGCCTGCCCCCAGGAAATGATAACAATAATTCCCTGCCCTAAAGGGCAAACAAAGAAGATAACTGTTCTCCAAAGTCAACGACGCTCTGAGAACGCCACTAAAAGGAACTCAGGATAATCTCAACTCTAGCTTGGCCAGAGTGGTTCCAACGCTCAAATCGTTCCCTCCTTCAGTGATTGGCTGAGCCTGCCAGAGTCGAACAGCGGAAAGCAGCCCCGGGGCCTCTTGCTGCCCCTAGGTCGGTGTAAGTGGCTTCACAGGTCCTTGTAGTTGCCTGACCCTAGTGGTCCAGCTTCCTGCCCTTATGCAACTCTTGGCTTCGTTCAAACGGACCGCCTTTGCCAGCACCCAGTCAGAACGCTCGATCTTCGGCTGTTGTCCAATGAACGCGCGTAATGGGGAGGGGAAAAAAAGAGAGTGTGAAGCCCAATCGCAGCGCCATTACACTTGAGGGCAAAGAGGTTAGGAAGCCGGCATGGCGCTCCGGTCAATAAAATCGATAGCTGGAAGCTGCCTGTGTTCCAGGCAAAGGCGGTGCGGTAGCAGCGCCGCCATTTTCCCCGAAGGCATCTTCCGGTGCCTTTCACCCAAGTTCGGGCAGGAGTTTCCTGAATAACAGCAAAGGGTTTCCGTTAGCCCTGCGGGCGGCCGATTCCAATTCCCTCCGGGCCTCCCTGGCCACGCTCAGCCCTGGTGCGGCGGGGGCTCCTCGATCCCAGGGGCCGCCAGCGCCCGAGGGCCGAGGCCTGGACGGGGAAGGCCGTGGCGCCGGCTCCTCGGGTCCCATGGCGCCGCCTTCGGCTCCGCTCCGGGCGCAGGGACCAGGAGAGGCCAGACCCAGTCGGAAAAGGGGCAGGAGGCCGAGGGCTCTGAAGTTCGTGGACGTGGCCGTGTACTTCTCCCCGGAGGAGTGGGGCTGCCTGCGGCCCGCGCAGAGGGCCCTGTACCGGGACGTGATGCGGGAGACCTACGGCCACCTGGGCGCGCTCGGTGAGGCCGGCCCCATCCGCTGCCGCGGGGCGCGAAGGGATGCAGGAGCCGGGGCGGGGGGAGGCAGGGAGGCCACGGTCCTGGCAGGCGACCAGGTTGTCAGGGTAGGTGGTCAGGGGCTTAGCGGGAGGTGCCGTCTGGGGGACATTACTCGGCGTGATCTAGAAACTGGCCTTCTGATTTGTTCTCCTTCCCCAGGGTGCGCAGGTCCCAAACCAGCCCTCATCTCCTGGTTGGAACGAAACACTGATGACTGGGAACCAGCTGCTCTAGATCCGCAGGAGTACCCGAGAGGGCTGACAGTCCAGAGAAGTGAGTGCTAAATAACCACGCAGAGCCTGCAGCCCTCCTATAACGTTCTACCTCTAACGGCTCCGTCCAGAGTTGTGGTTTGGCTAGGGGTGGGTGCCGCGTGTTTAGTGTATTCATCTTCCTAACCTCGGCGTCTTGTGTCTGGTGGTATGGGGCCCGTCCACCACACAGAGATTCCCATGTCAGTCTGCAAGCTGCAGTTTTCCATTGTGTGAATGAATCAGTGGGCTTCTTCGTCTTTTTTTTTTTTTTTTGTAGAGACATTGTCTTGCTATGTTGCCCAGTTTGGTCTTGAACTTCTGGCCTCAAGCGATCCTCCTGTCTTGGCCTCCCAAAATGCTGGGGTTACTGGCGTGAGCCATTGCAGCCAGCCAGAATCAGTGAGCTTTTAACGGTGCTACCCTCTGCCTCCTTTCCAGGATCTCTGCCTCTAGCCACCTTTGAATTGGACCAAAGAGATCCTAAACTTCTCAGAGTTGTCTGGGTTTTGGTTGAAGGGAGCTCATGGGGAACAGCTGCCTGGGATGCAGGGTCCTCTTTCTGCTCTTACAGCAGGATGACCCTTATCAGTGAAGGAGATACTGCAGTCTCCCCAGAATCCAACAAGGCTCTGCTTAACCCCATTCAGGTAGAAGGGTCCCAGATCCACCCATAGTAGAAGATGCAGCTGTCTGGGCTGGAATTTCAGAGCCAGATTCTCCAAGACGAGGGATAGCTGTCTAAGATTCAGATCTGACCATGATATTACCTTGCTTAAAACTTTTCAGTTAATTTTTGCCAAGGTTGTCAAATGGCCATTGGTTATATCTGAGTCATTTGGGGAACTTGGTAAAAATGCAGGTTCCAGGACCCCATCCCAGAGCTATTCATTCACTCGTGTGAATGTTTAGGAACTTGCAATTTTTTTTTTTTTTTGAGATGGAGTCTCGCTCTGTCGCCGGGTCTGGAGTGCAGTGGCCGGATCTCAGCTCACTGCAAGCTCCACCTCCCGGGTTTACGCCATTCTTCTGCCTCAGCCTCCCGAGTAGCTGGGACTACAGGCGCCCGCCACCTCGCCCGGCTAGTTTTTTTGTAGTTTCTTTATTTTTTTTTTTTAGTAGAGACGGGGTTTCACCGTGTTAGCCAGGTTGGTCTCAATCTCCTGACCTCGTGATCCTCCTGTCTCCGCCTCCCAAAGTGCTGGGATTACAGGCTTGAGCCACCGCGCCTGGCCGGAACTTGCAATTTTTAAATTAGCCTCATCTGATTCAGATGTGTATCTAGGTTTGAAAACCGGCGGGGCGCGGTGGCTCATGCCTGTAATCCCAACACTTTGGGAGGCCAAGGCGGGTGGATCACTTGAGGTCCGGAGTTCAAGACCAGCCTGGCCAACATCGTGAAACCCCGTCTCTACTAAAAAATACAAAAATTAGCCGGGCGTGGTGGTGGGCGCCTGTAATCCCAGCTACTCAGGAGGCTGAGGCAGGGAGAATTGCTTGATCCCGGGAGGCGGAAGTTGCAGTGAGCCGAGATCACCCCACTGCACTCCAGCCTGGGTGACACAGCAAGACTCCATCTCGAGGGAAAAAAAGAAAAGAAAACCACTGGGTAATTAGCTGGGCGTGGTGGCGGGCGCCTGTAGTCCCAGCTACTTGGGAGGCTGAGGCAGGAGAATCACTTGAACCTGTAGGCAGAGGTTACAGTGAGCCGAGATCACACCACTGCACTCCAGCCGGGGTGACAGAGCAAGACTCTATCTCAAAAAAAAAGAAAAAGAAAAGAAAACCACTGGGTAAAATACAGTCCAAGGCCCTTAACAATGCTATCAGCAATGGTTCTCAAAGCATGGTCTCAGACTAGAAGCAGCATTCCTTGGGAACTTGTTAGAAATGCAAATTCTGGGACCCTACCTCAGACCTGCTGGATCCAAAACGGGCACTAGGGCCTGGCAGTCTGTTTCAGTAAATCCTCCAAATGATTCTGATCACAGTGAAGTTTGAGAACCATTGGCTTAGAGGGCCTTTTGACCCAGTTACTGCTAGCTCATACCTTACAGGTTTCCATGTCTTGCGTTACACTCTTCATTTTTGTGAGATGGAGTCTTGCTCTGTCACCCAGGCGGGAGTGTAGTGGCACGATCTCAGCTCACTGCAACCTCTGCCTCCCAGGTTCAAGCAATTCTCCTGTCTCAGCCTCCCGAGTAGCTGGGACTATAGGTGCCCACCACCATGCCTGGCTAATTTTTAATAGAGACGGGGTTTCTCCATGTTGATCAGGCTGGTCTCAAACTCCTGACCTCAGGTGATCCGCCTACCTTGGCCTTCCAAAGTGCTGAGATTACAGGTGTAAGCCGCTGCGCCTGGCCTGTCTTGCTTTATTACAGTTTGTGTCTAAGAAGATCTTAGGGCCTGTGCACACTGTACACTGAGCCTTGGGACTTATGTTTCTTTTTTTTTTTTTTTGAGACGGAGTTTCGTTTTTCTACCCAGGCTGGAGTGCAGTGGTGTGATCTTGGCTCACTGCAACCTTTGCCTTCCAGTTTGAAGCAATTATCTTGCCTCCGTCTCCCGAGTAGCTGGGATTACAGGCGTCCGCCACCATGCCAGGATAATTTTTGTATTTTTAGTAGAGATGGGGTTTCACCATGTTGGCCAGGCTGGTCTCGAACTCCTGACCTTGCAATCCGCCCACCTTGGCCTCCCAAAGTGCTGGGATTATAGGCATGAGCCGCCGCGCTTGGCTGGGACTTACATTTCTAACCCTGCATAATTTTAATTCTTTTTTATTTTTTGAGATGGAGTCTCGCTCTGTCGTGCAGGCTGGAGTGCAAAGGCAGGATCTCAGCTCACTGCAACCTCTGCCTCCCGGGATCAAGCAATTCTTCCACCTCAGCCTCCCGAGTAGCTGGGATTACAGGCACCCGCTATCGTGCCCAGCTAATTTTTGTATTTTTGTAGATATGGGGTTTCACCATGTTGGCCAGGCTGGTCTTGAACTCCTGACCTCAGGTGATCCACCTGCCTCGGCCTCCCAAAATGCTAGGATTACAGGCGTGAGCCACCACGCCTAGCCACATTTTTTAAAGAATCAGCTAAGTCAAATAAACCATGGCTCATCCACGATGGAATTCTGTGCAACTGTAAAATAGAAAAAGGATGTGCTGACATAAAATGATCTTTAGAATATATTAAGTGAAAAAATGAAGGCACAGTAAAGTGTGTATAAGGTGTGTATATGTTGTATTTTATATAAGAAAGTTGAGCTGGGCATGGTGGCTCATGCCTGTAATCCCAGCACTTTGGAAGATGGAGGTGGGCAGATAACCTGAGGTCAGAAATTTGAGACCAACCTGGCCAACATGGTGAAACCCCGTCTCTACTAAAAATACAAAAAATTAGCCGGGCATAGTGGTGTGTGCCTGTAATCTCAGCTACTTGGGAGGCTGAGGCAGGGAGAATCGCTTGAACCCGGGAGGCGGAGGTTTCAGTGAGCTGAGATCATGCCATTGCACTCCAGCCTGGGTGACAGAACGTGACTCTGTCTCAAAAAAAAATAATAATAAAAATAAAAAGAAAGGTGGGGGAAGAGAACATATGCAGTAAAGCATGTGTATGCAATCTCTTATGAAAGAAAGATGGAGAAGATGACATTTGTATTGCATCAAAAAAATGGGAAGAAACTAATATGGTTTCTACAAGGTAGATGGGAAAAAGGTGGCAGCAAGACTTCTCTGTATTCCTTTATTAATATTTTGACTTTTTTGTTTTTTGAGATAGGGTCTTCCTCTATTGCCCAGGCTATAGTACACTGGTGCCATCATGGTTCACAGTAACCTGGAACTCCTGGGCTCAAGTAATCCTCTACCTCAGCCTTCCAAGTAGCTGGGGCTACAGGCAGGTGCGCATGCCACCATGCCAGGCTAATATTTGTATTTTTTGTAGAGATGGGGTTTCACGATGTTGCCCAGGCTGATCTTGAACTCCTGGGTTCAAGTGACCCTCTTGGCCTTGGGTTCCCAAAGTGCTGGGATTACAGGCACGAGCTACCATGCCTGGTTGATATGTTGACTTTTGAATGATGTAAGCTTACCTCTTAAAAATCATTCCCTTTTCTTTTCTTTTTTTGAGTCAGAGTCTCGCCGTCTCACCTAGGCTGGAGTGCAGTGGCACGATCTCGGCTCACTGCAACCTCTACCTCCCCGGGTTCAAGCGATTCTCCTGCCTCAGCCTCCTGAGTAGCTGGGATTACCGGTGTGTGCCACCACGCCTGGCTAATTTTTGTATTTTTAGTAGAGATGGGGTTTCACCAGGTTGGTCAGGCTGCTCTCAGACTCCTGACCTTGTCATCTGCCCACCTCGGCCTCCCAAAGTGCTTGGATTACAAGTGTGATCCACCACGCCCGGCCTCAATTTTTAAAGTTAGCTTAATCTCCAAGAAATCTTCCTAGACGTCTCCAAGCTGGGTTAGAAGCTCCTGTAATGCACACCATATTTGCATGATAGTATGTCACACTTAGCTGTCTGTGGCACTAGGCATTGAGGCCAGGGGGTGAGTCTATTGGTCTTGTAACCTATAATGTAATTTACAACAGCAGGATCCCAGTATTTGTTAAATTAATTCTTCTGTATTCCTATAGAAAGCAGAACCAGAAAGAAGAATGGGGAAAAGGAAGTATTCCCGCCTAAGGAGGCACCCCGAAAGGGGAAGCGAGGCCGGAGGCCCAGTAAACCCCGACTGATTCCCAGGCAGACGTCCGGGGGCCCCATCTGCCCTGACTGCGGCTGTACCTTCCCTGATCATCAGGCCCTGGAGAGCCACAAGTGCGCCCAGAATCTAAAAAAGCCTTACCCTTGCCCAGACTGTGGGCGCCGCTTTTCCTATCCATCCCTGCTGGTCAGTCACCGGCGGGCACACTCCGGCGAGTGCCCCTATGTTTGTGACCAGTGTGGCAAACGTTTCTCCCAGCGCAAGAACCTCTCCCAGCACCAGGTCATCCATACAGGCGAGAAGCCCTACCACTGCCCTGACTGTGGTCGCTGTTTCCGGAGGAGCCGGTCCTTGGCCAATCACCGGACCACACACACAGGCGAAAAACCCCACCAGTGCCCTAGCTGTGGACGTCGCTTCGCCTACCCCTCCCTGCTAGCCATTCACCAGCGTACACACACGGGAGAGAAGCCCTACACCTGCCTCGAGTGCAACCGCCGCTTCCGCCAGCGCACCGCCCTCGTTATCCACCAGCGCATCCACACGGGTGAGAAGCCCTACCCGTGCCCGGACTGCGAGCGGCGCTTCTCCTCCTCCTCTCGCCTAGTCAGTCACCGGCGTGTGCACTCTGGGGAGCGTCCCTATGCCTGCGAGCACTGTGAGGCCCGCTTCTCCCAGCGCAGCACACTGCTCCAGCACCAGCTCTTGCACACGGGAGAGAAGCCCTACCCCTGCCCAGACTGTGGGCGTGCCTTCCGGCGGAGCGGCTCCCTGGCCATCCATCGCAGCACGCACACTGAGGAGAAACTGCACGCCTGCGACGACTGTGGCCGGCGCTTTGCCTACCCCTCACTGCTGGCCAGCCACCGGCGCGTGCACTCGGGCGAGCGGCCCTATGCCTGCGACCTTTGCTCCAAGCGCTTTGCTCAGTGGAGCCACCTGGCCCAGCACCAGCTGCTGCACACGGGGGAGAAGCCTTTCCCCTGCCTCGAGTGTGGCCGGTGCTTCCGCCAGAGGTGGTCTCTGGCTGTCCACAAGTGTAGCCCCAAGGCCCCAAACTGTAGCCCTAGATCTGCTCTCGGGGGCTCCAGTCAGAGGGGCAATGCCCATTAGAAGGGGAAGGACTGGCTACGTTCATTTCATTTTATGGAAGGACCCAGAAAAGGGAAGGAGGAGCCCCAGGTCATACAGGGCAGAGTCAGAACTAAACCCAGGTCTCCTGCTGGACAGAGCTGAACTTTAGTATCTTGCACTGCACTGACTGCCTCCCTGTGCGTGTCTGGAACAGTCCCATTAGGAGAGGTGACATCATTTGGTTAAAGTTTTTCAAGCTACCCTATCCTTAAATAGTTTGTCTGGATATCAGGGCTAAAAGTTCTCCCCATCTATTTTAGGGGCTGTCTGCTTTTCTAGTCTGTGCACACAGGGATTACCTGTCATCTTGCATGCAATCAGGAGAATCTCATTTATAGGTGCAGGACCTTCCCCTACTCTGCCTCTTCCTCCATACTAGGTTGGAAAAGTCTGGTTTAGCCCACTTTTTACAACACTCCTGCCAAGTGGTCTCTACCCCTTGCTTGAAAATCTCCCTTGACAGGGAGCTCACTACCTCACAAGGCAGGTCATTTCATTGTGGGATCTATAGAAAGTTAAGTACCACATTCTCATCTGTAAACCTTGCCTACCACATGTTTAATACTTCTACTTGGCAGCCCTTCAGATAACTTAATCACAACCAATTTGCCCCCAAATTTTCAGGTTAAGTAGCAGGAATTTGGTCATTCCTTAAAGACAGGGTTTCAATTTCCACACATGATCTCTGCAAACAGGCTCTGGGTTTTCAGTGTCCTTTTTGAAGGGTCATGTAAAAATAAGGTAGCACCCACAGTGCCACTACACCTTCTGGGGCTGGACTTGTTTCAGCAGCTTTGGTTGCACTGAATTTGGGGGAGCTGCACGGTACCAGCAGTTTATTGGGATGCAGATATATAAATGCCCTAAACTTAAAAAAAAAAAAAAAGCTAAGTCTTCATCTTGTGTTTGGAAAATTGGTTCAAGCTGCGTATGAGACATAAGCGCAGTCAGCTCTGGGAGAAGGTTGGTCTTAAGGAAAAGCAGGGACCTGTGGTTTAGGAAATGCAAATGGGACTGGCTTGTGCTCTACCTGGCAGACCTGGCTTGGCTTCAGGCGGCCAGTGCCTGAAAAAGCCTGGAGAATTGGGCCATACTCGACCCGGATTCTCGTCAGGCACAGATGAATCACAGGCACATAATCGGCACAGAACTTCCATGAGGCCTCAGTCAGCATTTTTTCACAAAATGAGGTGAGGCCATTCAAGGAGGCTAGAAAGAGGGAATTGAACCCAGAGAGAAAGAGTCTATAGTCATCAAGTTGTGTCCATGCCAGCCTCCCTCCAGAGAGGTGGCAGTAGTGTGTCTCAATCTGATCCACCTCCATGGCACCCGCCGGGTAGGTGCTTCATAAAGCTTTACCGCGTTAAATGTGAACAAGGCCTACCACTTTGCCTTGGGCAGCTGCACCAAATTAGAATTTCCAGATGTGACTCATATTCCAACAGCTGGAGTGGGTCATCCTTTACCCCTGTGGCGCCTTACTACAGCTCTCCTGATCTGGGCCCAAGCAGGGGAGCAGCTGGGGAACACAGCTTTATGTAATTACCTCTGTTCAATCTTTAGCAAGTTGCATTGTAACATTGTAACTATTTGTTTCTCCTTGGATGGTGAGCTGCCCCCAAGAAGGGGTCATATCAGATTGGGTCTCATTAAAATGTCTGATGAATGAATTCTGTTCCTCCTGGAATTACTTTTTACAAAATGTCAATCTAGTTCCTTGATTCAGTAGCAATTTTTGCTGTTCTGATGGGAGAGCCAGACTTCAGACCAGGAGACCTGCCCTGCCCAGCAGAGCCCTGTTACCAGGTCTACCCAGCCCCCTGGTAGAGCCAGCTCTTTCCCCTACCCTTTGCCACCGGAACGCAAGGATTTCCTCAGCTAGGAATTGTATAACTTTCTTTGGGACTGGATGGTAATTCATAAAACTTGGGGCCAGGTGGAGTGGCTCACGCCTGTAATCCCAGCACTTTGGGAGGCCGAGGCGGGCAGATCACCAGGTCAGGAGATCGAGACCATCCTGGCTAACACGGTGAAACCCCGTCTCTACTAAAAATACAAAAAATTAGCCAGGCGTGGTAGCGGGCACCTGTAGTCCCAGCTACTCAGGAGGCTGAGGCAGGAGAATAGCGTGAACCTGGGAGGTGGAGCCTTCAGTGAGCTGAGATCATGCCCCTGCAGTCCAGCCTGGGTGACAGAGCAAGCTCCATCTCAAAAAAAAAAAAAAAAAAAAACTTGGGAGCCACTGGTGGCTAACTTCCATTATGTGGTCTGCGGAAAGCAGAGATGGGAGACAACTTCCTAGGTTCCCTGAAGCACTTCAATCCACCCGAGCTGGGATCCTGGCTCTTTATTCAGTGAGAGATCCTAGCATCCTTCCAATAACTTCCCCTTTCTGCTTAAGGTGGTTTGAGTTTCTGTTGTTTGCAGTCAAAAGAATGAACAAATACATAGCCTCAGTCTGGATTAATCTCCCATCTGCCTCCATGCCTAGATATGAGCTGTGAAAAAAAACACTGCATTGCTGCTGACAGGGCCCACGATACCTTTCCTGACCTTCAACCTCAGTAGAACATTCAATATTATGTCTTCCGGACTGGGCACAGTGGTTCATGCCTGTAATCCCAGCACTTTGGGAGGCCAAGGCGGGAGGACTGACCTGGGAGTTCGAGACCAGCCCGGGCAACATAGCAAGACTTAAAAAACAACAACAATAACAAGACAATATTATGTCTTCCATATATATATAGAATTAAAGTTAGATATAAACTAATAGTTTATATACAAATGTATAAATATAAATAAACATAAATACTGTGGTAGTCCAGAGCACGACCACCCTATAGGCAGTGTGCTGTGCCCCGAGTTAGGCATTCCTCTCTTCTTTTTTTTTTTTTTGAGATGAGTCTCGGCTCTGTCACCAGGGGCTGAATGCAGTTGGCACAATCTCGGCTCACTACACATTGCCGCCTCCTGTGGTTCACGCGATTCCTGGCCTCAGCCGCGCTGGTGGCTGGGACTACAAGGTGTGTACCACCACGGGCCCGGCTAATTTTTGTATTTTTAGTAGAGATAGGGTTTCGACCGTGTTAGCCAGGAGGGGTCCTCGATCTTCCTGGACTCGTTGATCCACCCATGCCCTCGGCCCTCCCAAAGTGCTGGGAATTACAGGCGTGAGCCACGCACACCAGGCCCATTTCCATATATTCTTAACCGGTAAGGAATACCTCCTCTTTCACTAGGAAATACAAAGGGGTCAAATTAGGGAGCTTCTTTAACAATTCCCCACTGCGCTTGCCATGACTCCAGATTTACTTGCCGATCCATCTCGGCAAGGTCCTGGCATGTACAATGGCAAACATATGCTGGGCCTGGGGTTTCATCCCCCTTCTGCCCCTTAGGACGTTGCTCTATTATCCTACTTTCTCCTCTCCTTTTTATGTTTCAGATTCCCTTCTTGTCCCAAAGACACCCTTTTTTTTCAGCCTATAAGGCATGGCTTAAGATCTGCTTTAAAACAATATAAATGTCAACTTTTTTCCTCTCTATTCCCTATTATTTC